TTTTTTTTTTTTTTTAAGGTTGCCAATGAAAAATTTATGGAACTGTGATGTACGGATGTCAAGTTGGCAACAGTGATGACGATGATGTCAACAGCATTGACGATAATGACAGAAACAAAAGTTTCTGTAATTTTTCTTGCATCACTTCTGATTCTGTTGATGCGTAAGTATTTTTCAGTTATTTTTTTTTAAACTATTTACTCTATTATCGGTTGGCTGTATTTCAAAGACAAAACTAAAGTTGATCTGATAGTCGGTGGAATAAATATTTAATTGTTTGTTAGACAAAATAATAGTTCTTAAAACTTTAATTGTTTCAAAAAAAAAAAATAGTAGCGTAATCTAATTTTTTGTGTAAATGACAATTTATAGATTGCTTAACCAAAAAAACATTTCTGTTTTTTAAACAATAAAGTAGGTGAACAAACAAAAAAAAAAAAAATGGTTAGAAAATTTTGTTAATCGGTTGTTTCTATAGCCATTATCAGCTTAAGCTCGATCATTTAGTCTAATAGGAATTTAGAAAAGAAAAGAAACAGTTATTGAAATTGTGAAAAACGAGGAAAAACAGAAATGGATTGATGAAATTTTAGTTTTATTAATTTATATCAGCAATTAAATGTTGTTCGCAATTTTCTTTCAAACACTGAATTTAGTGCTGCCGCTACTGTAATTTGGTTATGACTTATAAGAGGAATGTTTCAAGAAAAGAGTTGTAAAATTAGATGGGAAAAAATCTTTTCTTTAGTTTTTATCTTTGTTTCAGAATATGGATGTTGTTCAGAAGAAGAGGAACGACTAATGACTGATTTATTTCGCGGTTATAATTCATTGATACAACCGATTCGTAACTCAACAGATTATCCGTTGCTTGTAAAAATGACTGTACAATTGGTTTACATCATCAATGTGGTTAGTTGGTTTAACACAACTTTTTATGACTATCAGTTGTTTTAAATTTATTAAAAAGAAAGCAAATAAGGAAACCTTTGCAGCAATGTTTCAAAAGCAATGAAATAAAAGTAAAAAAAAAAAGCACTTCTTTTTTTTTTATCAGTAATTATTGCGGTAAAAAGAACATATTTTTAAGCCTAGAGTGACATTTTTTTTTTCTTCCGAACTGAACAAATATAGGTTTGCCAACTGAATAAGGTGAATTTGAAGCGAAGCTGTTTGAGATGAGAAGATTAAGGCAAAGAAAGAAGAGAAGAAAAGGTAGTTTAATACAGAAAAAGTGAACTGATGTATAAGAGATTGTTCTTCAACAAAAAAAAAAAAAGTTGTTTTTGATTTATTTTTTTTATACATTAATCGACATAAAAGTTTCCCTATTGATGCCAAAAATTAGATTCCTGTTTTATACCTGAAACTTGCCGCTAAGTGAGAAGCATTTGCTATGTCAATTAGCCATAATTATCTGAGAATTATTTAGCAAAGGTAGCAACAATATCTGAAAATTTATTTGATTTAAAATTGTTGCCTAAATCGCTTAAAAAACTGCAAAAAAAAAAAAGACAGCTATTTTTTAAAATATCTTATCATTCATTGTTAATGACAGTAAATTTTTAGATATGCTTTAGCCAACTAAGGTTGCTGTTATTTTTAGGATGAAAAAAATCAAATAATGCACACCAATGTATGGTTAACAATTGTAAGTTACTTGCTGTTCTTTATTTTCCTTTCTTCTGTTAAATCAAATATGAGAATTTAAATACAGAACTATTTGGAACTTTTAAAAGTCAATGGTTTTTTTTTCCTTTTTGAATAATACGTTTTGAAACAGCTATAAACTGTTAAATTTAAACCACAAAAAAAGTCAAATTTTTTGTGTTTTTGTTAACTATAAATGCACATGAATTTTGAAGCTTTTTATTTCCTTCTTTGATAAGTTTAACACTGTAACTGAATGAACATCGAATAGCACTTTAGAAATGGGACGATTTTCAAATGAAATGGAATCCTGTAAACTATGGTGGTATAAAAGATATTAGAGTTGCACCAGAAAAAGTTTGGTTACCAGATATAGTACTGTTTAACAAGTTTGTGCTTTTTGCTTATAAAGTCTGCTCTTTTTTTTCTTTTCAGCAGTTATATTATAAAATATCGGCACAGAATTAATC